GGGAGGGGATGGAGTAGGAGATGGATAGGATGATGGGGAGGGGATGGAGTAGGAGATGGATAGGATGATGGGGAGGGGGAAGAGTAGGAAATGGATAGGATTATGGAGAGGGGATGGGGTTGGATACAAAGTGCAGAGCTGTACATGTATCTGGTACATTAAAGGAATTTTCATTATGCACCATCCATCAAACTCACAAATGCACTGCTTATAGAATCATCCAGGTCTAGTCTGACTGTACTAGCTGGACCCACTTTCTATAGGCATTCCTCTCTCCTGTAAAGAATTGTGAAGCCTTTGTACCTGTATCTCCCTTGTTGGTGGTCTTTGTTGATTTACTTTTAAATGACAGGCGCCTTTCAACACATAGTCTGCACACAGCACTTACTATACTTTTTTTTCCTAGAGTATAATGAATTTTATCGCTAAGGTCGATAAAATATCTTGTACATCTGTATTTTGATGGTTAGTATTTTCTTGTTTAATTTAGTAACCGTATTTGTATAACTTGGATGTCTCTTTCCTGTTATTACAGAAAAGAAATTTAAATTCATAACAAGCAGCGAGCCATTGTAGCTTTGCCGTTCTAATTAGTGTTCAGTCTGCATGATTTGATACATTTGCAATTTGACAATGGCACTGAAGGAAGTGAAGCTCTGAAATGAATATATCTGTTTCTAATCCCACAAAGCAGGAAACAGATCAGGAAATACTACTTTGTACACAGCACCATGAACTATACATTATGTATGAGACAAATTAGTTTATCATGTATGCATGTATTGTACATACATGTAATGAGCTCCATAAACCCTGGGTTTTTTCACTGAATGTTAATTTTATCCTAATGTTTGTAATATCAAACCCTAACCCCCTCAGCCTTTTTACTAGGGACCATCCTGAATCCTCCGAAATCTTCTGTTTTTCAACATCAACAAATTGCATTCAGCCCAAATCCTCCAAAATCCTCCAAAGTTTCTTGAAAATGTCATTTGGAGGTGTGCCTAACTGCCCAAATCCTTCAAATCCTCTGGCACTTCCTGTCATTATGTTGAGGCAGTGCGAATGGCACTCTTGAGCTTTGCAGCTGATTCAAAAGAAATGTTGGGCTGAAATTGTGCTTGACTAAGCTCAAACCACATAAGGTCTAATCCATGACCTTCACATATGGCGTCCTTTGAAATCAGCCATGCACTTTTGCCATACACCCTGAACCCTCCAAATTCCTCCACTTTGCAGAAAAAAGGATTTGGGAGGATTCGGGGGGTTTGGGCTAAAGTAATTTTAATTTTAACCAGTTTTCGAAAGGATACGGTAATATTCTTTTGACTTTGTAAAGATGAACCAAGAAAGTTCAAATGGATGCCCTTTGAAATTTCTGGAAAAACACTATGCAACGTTACATGTGGCTTGGACTTCTGGATTTCCCTGTTTTCTAAATTCCCAGCTCCATATCAGTAGCCAATTTAACCAAACTTACTTATGCTGTTGTGTGACTTCTCTTATAACGCGTTTGATTGCGTAAGTTGCACAACAAATTATAACACCTTGATCATATGACATCTATTTAGATGGAGTAAGTTGTACCAAACAATTTGAAATGAACAGCTCATGCTGGTTAACCCTAACCCGCTGGGTCTTTTTGGTAGGCACCATCCTCAGTCATTCACAATCCTCCAATTATCCATGCAAGAAATTGTATTCAGCCTCAGTCCTCCAAAATCCACCGAAATGTTACAGTTGAGTCGAAATAAAGGGCACCCATTACCTCAAATCTTCCAAACCCAAACAAGGGCTGCTGAGGAACAGTAGAAAGGTATTACCTCAGTACAAAATGGGAAGCAAAGTAAAATACGTGCATCTACCCTTAGGTCTCAACAAAGCGCCTAGTTATGACCAGCAATAAAAGATGGAAGACTACTGTGTGTTGAAACTATGCATGCACATTGTGAAGTGTGGGAATGAACAATGTATGTAGTATGCTAATGCAGGGACAATTTCCTCTGTGAAGTACATACATGTACGTAACTATGATCTTGTTACAGGTTGAATACACCCAACATAAACCATGCCACACAAATCCTTCAATTTCTTGCACTGCAAAAATCACACCACTAAGCAATCCTCCAAATTCATGAGTAATACTCGAACACCATTCAGCCTTAATCCTCTATAATCCTTCAAAACCACCTGGAGGATTTTGGAAGATTTAATGCACACTATTGCTCAACTTAACAAGGTTTCTGTGAGAAATGCACTTTTTGTTGTTGTTGAAATAATGCAATTTGTTTGTCTGTGAGAGAACTCCAATCTTCATAATGGCAAACAGAGCTAATTTAATACCAGTTTGGTGACTGATATAACATTGGTAAGGAATAGCCATTATAAAAGCTGCAATCTCTTCTCATCCAAAATATTTAATGTATTGAAACATTGCTCAGTTGTGTAAGGTCTAATGAAATTGACTGCATAAAGTACATTGCACCATCCTATCAAACAGCCATGCCCAGTCATCATCCTAAGATTCTGCAAAATCGACCTAGCGGCTTTGGAAGATGTTGCAGGATTGAGTAAAATTTAGTTCCCAACCATTGTGAATCCCCAGTATGTTAGGTTTGGCACACACCTTGCCAATTTGACCTTTTCATGGGACCATCACATTACTGGTACAGTTTTTGTCACCATCAGGGTATATTACTACTTTAACCACAGTGACTCACATGCCCAGTTTAGTTTTCAAATCAACCACTTGATCATTAGTTACATGCTAAACAGTCACATGATGGCCATCTGTGTCTATGAGGGCTTCCATTTTTAATCATGTGACTTTCCCTTGTGAATCTGATTGGTTAACATGAATTTCACATCCAGTGGAATTGGAGTGTTGCCTAGACATTGGCCTAAAAAGGAAATCAGAGAAGTTCGTTTTCATCTGGTTGGCTGTTGTACATGTATGTACAGTGATCAGTCAAATTTTTTGCTTGCATTTCTCAACTTCAGTGCTTAGAATGATCGAGTAGGGTAGTGAACTGGTCAGATTGGCAAGGTACGCAGTGAGCTTACAGTACCAAAATGTATCATTGGGCTCCTGCATAAAGATCAATGTTGGAAGACTCAGTATGATTACTGTACATATCAGGTTTATTTAGAAGGTTTGGGGAAGGTTCCAACTCCAAGCAACAGTGCACAGAGAGGTTGGGTTAACATTGGTGTCTTGATCGTGCATTTTTTTTTTCAGGTGATGTTTTTTCTACATATGACATCAGGCAAGGAGACATCAGCATTAGCCAAAGACATCACCAACACCTACAAGAACTCGGCCATTTGCTGTTTTTATAATTCCAGGGGTTCTAATGACAGTCCTGCTTTGGGAAATGTTTATCAGACATGTAAAAACCAGGTAATCATAGAAGTATCCCCCAAAATTATTTTAAAAGTGATTATACAACACAATTTAAAGGCCAATATGATTGTTGGCATGTGTCCAAAACCAGACTTAATTTCTAGAAAAGTTTTACATGAAGGAATGCATAAGACTGGCACGTGTACAAAATACTTGTAAATGATTCTGTCTGATGCAGTTTGAGTTTCACTGAAAAGACACTTCCATTAAATGCCAAAAGTTAACCCTAAAAGAACCAGGAAGGGGGGGTAATCCTGTACATTTCCTCTGATTTGGTTACAGTGCATTTTCTTACCGTATCAAGCATTCAGGAATGTTTCAATTGAAGTGTCATTCTGACATCAATTTAATGAAAATTAGACACACCATTCTCGGGAAATGCCAATTTTCCCGGTGACAGGTTGGCAAAAGATTTATGTTTTCTCAAAAATGTGAACTATAAAATAACGTGAAGCTCTTTCCCGTGTTTGATAGGATTGAAACTTCACAGATGCATTCATAATGAAAATCTTTACAAACATGCTATGTTTCATAGGAAAGCCAAGATCTTACAGAGCCCACCTTGTTTTTATTTCTTATTTCAACTATTCATTGATTTACTGAAGTTTTTATCTGTTTGCTTTGGATGCAACAGATAGAGGACAGTTGTAAGAAGGGCCTGCAGGTCATCGTTGTAAATGGCACAGACAGGGAACACTTAGAGTTACAGGGTTACTTCACCGTAGCGCATCAATACAACTATACTACTGTCGTTGTGCAACCCAATGCAACATTGGATCACTTTGATGCACAGAGGTCGCCCTCAGAACCCATCGGAGATGCCTCCAAGGGGCAGGACCTACCCAAGATTCTGTACCCTTTTTTCTATGGGTGGTTTCTCGGCTTTAACATCTCCGTGGACACCCAAAATTATGGGAGGAAGATCTTCCACGAGTGTCGTCAGCAGCCCAAGTTTGTGGAGATATTCAAGAAATATGCTCTTCCTGGGTCACCTCGCAATTCAACTGGTAAGCCCAGCAGAGCAGTTTGACTTTTGTATGAGGGTCATTCCATAAGGTTGGGGCGCGATTTGGGACGGTGTCCATTGTTGTGTGGGTTGCGTTATCTAACAGAGTAAATGACCTACTCTACAGGTCATGACAGGTGGTAAAATTACCCGTGTAACAAGGACACCGTCACAAATTGAGCCCCAACCTCATGCAATGACCCATAAGACAATTTTCAGGATCATCTTTTAGGGGTAGGGGTATCAGTTTTATTGTTATCTTACATGTAATTTGTTTGAAAAAGGTAATTGGAAAAATACATGAAGGTTTTGGAGTTATGAATTTCAGTACAGTCAGAACGGCTCCATCTTGATAGGTGGTTTAACTTTGCATTTATACCTCATTTGGTCCTTTTGTAACTGGTTGAATGAAAAATACTGATTTCAAAACAAGCTAAATGTCTAGTCTAAATGAGCTGTCCTAAAGTGACTGTTTTGAATGTTTGATGATAAAGTGCTGTGCTGTGGGATACATTTTAACACTGAGGGACTCGAAGGCAAGCGTGGTGGTGCTATCATCGGTGAAGACGGTAGAAACATCGTGTCCCACATCACAACAGACAGTAGTTGTTTTGTTATGGCTCTGTCTTCAATTACCTGAAGTGTCTTGATTTTGGCTGTAACAAAGAATGTCTTGGTCCAATGCTGCAATCTTTTAGTCACATTGGTCACACGCAAAAGCAATATCTTATCTTAGTCCTGAAAGGTTGCGTGCAAAGGAACTTGTATGAAGAAACAAACTTTACGTAAATGGGTTTGATGTAGGATTACTCTGACAAAATCACTGTTCTCACTTCAGTTAACTATGTACATGTACAGGCAAAAGTAGCTGAGGTACATTAGCAGACACTTCATTATGGTTTAGAATCTGGGACAAGGACTAGTCTATGATGTCACAATGTGATATGCGTAAGGATGAAGTTAATATGCTGTTTTATTGACCGGTCATGTGATCTGTCTCGGCCAATGAAAATGCAGTTTGCAAGACAGGCATAACAAGTGTAGGTGATGCTCTATCAATTGCCTTGTATATTTAGCAAAGGAATAAATTTCCTTAGGGGCTTAAAATCCATCACACTGCAGCTCCTCTCGAAGTTGGAACATGTTGGGCCAGCAGGGTTCTGCCCAGGATGGTTTAGTGCCGGCAGGACTATCTAAGCGCAGCGCCACCATCGGTTGGCGCGGAGCGTACCAGAAAATTTTTGGAATCTAAAAGCCCCCAGATGGCCGGAAACAGCACTTTCTGGGTGTTTTCAGCTGTGAATACACAGCCTAGAATTAGGGATCTCATGTCTGAAATTTCTGAAATTTAATAAAAAAATTGAAATTTTGTAATTTTGGTCAACTAGGATGAGGTGATAATTTTAGACGGGCAATTGAATTAGAAAAAAAAGATTAAAAATAAATATTGATTTTATTCTGTAAATCCCTTAAATAGTGAATTAATTTCTATCTCTATGATGCCCATAATTTTTCATTGCTATTCAAATCATTTTTCATTTTTTTTGTGTGTTGAAAATAAGGCAAACATGCAAAATCTTGGCGGAATATTTTCCTTATTTTCTTTGTACGAAAGTTCGTACAGTATGCATATGGGATAACGACATTCATAAATGTGTGCAGGGATTTTC